TTTATTTGTATTGTTTTGTTGTATGTAATGTTTTGTTTTTAAAAATGAAATGAAAAAATACTATAAACTAAACAAAATTTTCTTGAAAAGGAACGGAGGGTAGAATTTATAACCCACACATTTTATGATGTAGGCCGAAACTGAGCTTCCTCTTCTTGAAAGACCAACATCCACCACTGGTGCGTGCGTGTGTGCGTGCCATGGGACGTTTTGTTGAAAAAGTTGCTCCAGCCTGTGGACAGCATTGCCGCGGGCCATTTAGCCACCTGTCTGTCGACAAAATTGCTCAAAAGGTTGCAGACGGACTGTCATGAAATTTTTCCCACCTGGGTATTGGCCAAAGGAACACACCATTAAAATTTGGTTATGTTCCGGATCACGATACGGATACAGGAATTTTTCTTTTCATTCGAGCGAATCAGCCAGGCTACGCAGTGTCATTACATCAGACGCATGCCTGTAGGAAACAGGAAGTGAAGTCACAAACACGCTGGGACTACACCTCCCAGGATGTTTACTATCTGGAAAGTTGTGATTATTCTGTTATCAACTAGTATTGGTGATGTTACATGCTGTTATGAGACGTAGAAAAAGAAATGTCTCTTCACGTTACGGGAATAACTGAGAAGACGCTGACAGCGGGGGGAGGGTCCTGCTGCAGCCAAGACGAAGCTGATACCAGACAGCAGGAACAGCTGATCAACCATGTGAGGTACCCCCTCCACATAAAAACTTTTACTGTGTGATTAGTCAGAAGTTCATGGGAGTGTTTATTTGTGCTGAAAGCGCTCAGACTCTGTATTTTGCTTCAACTACTCGCTTAATAAAACAAAAACAAAAAACAAAGGCGAGTCGCTTCCAGAGCTGACTGTACCAGGAAGCAGCAGTTTATAAAGTAGGGTTGGGCAGTATTGGCAAAAAAATTAATCACGATTAATTGTGGTATTTAGCCGATAACGATTAATTTGACGATTAATCCCCTGGAGTCCCTGGACAGCCTTAATTTGTAGTCACATGACCAATTTAGTGGGAAAGATATGCTCTTTGTAAAAATCTGTTCCAAATTGTGTGAAAATTACAGACTTCAGGCTATACATCATATTTTAAATTGTGTTGATAGATAAATAAATTACAGAACTTTATTTTTAATATTCGTCATATTTGAAGCGAGAGGAGCACCGAGCGGACTGTTCGATGTAACCCCCAGTCATACTGCCTTCTGGCATTAATCGTATTAATCGTCAAGTGACAAAAAGTAATCGATTAATGTTTTTCTGACGATTAATTGCACACGATACGATTATGCCCAACCCTATTATAAAGATAGTGAAATCCTTAAAAACTCCTAAAAGGGGATAAAACAGACGTTTTACATGGTGGAATCTGACTGATGAACACTTAGAAACTTAATCCGGGACCAGTTTGTGGATGAATAACGTCGGGTGACCAGTCTCTGACTTTTTTTTTCACATTGGACTCCACCGGGATAAAATCCTGTGCATACTGCCTGCTTAAATATTCTCTACGTCAGAACTTATTCGGCAAATGTGTTTCCGTCTCTCCTTCTGCGCATTAACTCTATTGCAGGATGGGGGAAATTGGCCTTGGCGGAGGTTTGCACTCTCTGAGTGCTTCTAGTTTTATTAATGAATCACGTGTGTACACCTCTTCCTCCCACAGTGATCCCTCCACGTCCTCCTCCTCCTCCTCCTCATCATCATGGCATCTGGAGCTCTGTTTCCCAGCATGGTGTCTGGCTCCCGCGGCTCCTCCAGTAAGTTTCTGGTGGAGTTCCGGGCCGGTAAAATGACAATGAAGGGCAGCACGGTGACTCCCGACAAGCGTAAAGGTCAGGTCTACATCCAGCAGACGGACGACTCCCTGATCCACTTCTGCTGGAAGGATCGCACCACCGGAAACGTGGACGATGTAGGTCGAACCATCGTTCAGTTGTCAGATTTTGTTTCACCTGCAATGTTTTTAAAATCAAACTTAAAACATTGGCACGTCTCCATTCAGGACCTGATCATCTTCCCTGAYGACTGTGAGTTCAAACGGGTCAACCAGTGCACCACAGGCCGGGTCTACGTGCTGAAGTTTAAAGCCGGCTCCAAAAGACTCTTCTTCTGGATGCAGGTTTGCATCTTCTTCACACACAACTCTGTTAGACTCTTATTCAAACACTTCTCTTAGATCTGTTTAACTTGTTTTGTGCAGTCATTTAAAGATGCATGTTCTTCTTTAAAGTCACTTATCAGCAGAGTCTGGAAAGCTTCAAGTATCAAAATTCTACTCATGTCCGTGGTGTTTATAGACATTAAATGTTAATGTAATCAAGCTGAAGAGTTAAGAGAGTCGGAGTGGAGCTGAAGTGGAGCAGCAGTGATGCTGGAGGACCGGCTTCATCTGCATATTTATCAATCTGAATAATGAACAAGTTGTAATGTGAAATAAAATGGAAACCTTTTGATGAACTAGATAAGTAGACGAGATTTAAAGGACTTAGTTAATGCTTTATGAATAAATTTTACTTACACTCACCGGCCACTTTATTAGGTACACCACGCTAGTAACGGGTTGGACCCCCTTTTGCCTTCAGAACTGCCTCAATTCTTCGTG